GTGAGTTATCCTCGGGTATCTGGCTTCCTCAAGAATGGTAGAGTAGTTCCTGTTCTTCCCTGGGGCAATGCAGGGCTGGCAACCATCATCTTCTCACTGTCCATAGGTAGAGAAAGTCCTTCTATATAATATATTTCTCAACTGGTTTAGGACAGCTAAAGATTCTTTCTGTTGCTTATAGTTGCAAGTTCTCAATCCTTGTTTTCGGCTTCAGCTTGCTGGTCCGGAGGCCACACGCCCGCCCCGGAGTGGCAACTGAACACTGGGCAGAGCGGGGGCCCGCAGCCAGGCCCTGGTGGGCCGTCGCAGGGGGCCAGCAAACTTCTGAAAAAGGCCGGCAGGAAACATTTTCGGTGTTGGAGGTCACGTGGTCTCAGTCTCAGCTGTGCAGAGCTGCCATTTCCCTGTAAGGGCAGCCATCGGCCACATGTGAACAGATGGGCGTGGCCGTATTCCAACACAACTTTACGCGTAGACACTGACATCGGGATCTCAGACAGTGTTCATATATCACAGCAAGTCTTCTTTCGATCGAAAAAAATGAGTAGATGTTATTTAGAGCAGTTTAAGGAGCACAACAAAGTTGTGTAGAAAACGGGGCTCCCACATACCCTGCACCCTCTCGTGCCGCACAACCACTGGCAACAACCAGCACCAGAGAGTATGTGTGTTGCAATCCATGAGGTGACATTGATGGGTCACACGCCAACTCCACAGTGTACCTGAGGGCTGGCTCTTGGTGGTTTGGACATTTTGTTGGTTTGGACAAATTTATAGTGACCTGTATCCACCATAATAGTATCATATCGAATATTTTCAGGGTCCTAAAAGTCCTCTGTGCTTAGTTAGGGCCAGCAGGTGAGGTGGCGTGGTGGTTAAAGCACTGGGGAAAAGAAAGCTTTCTGGATGCCCACATGGCTGACTTTGTGGTTCAAGTCCTGGACCTGGTGGCTGGACACATGTGCGTGTGTGCCAAAATCTCAAGAGGAGAATGGAGAAGATGGAATGGCCATTGCCCCCCAGGGGGTGGTTTCTCACTTTCCGTCTCTCTGTCTCTTTTTCTCTGGTGAGCGCATGTGCCCTATAGGGGGAAAAATCCTCTGTGCTCTACATATCCGTCTTTGTCTATCTTTACCATTTAAAATAATAAAACTCCTTTTCCTGAGAGTCACACGAAAGCAGGCAGCGGGCTGGATTCGGCTCACGGGTCACAGCCTGTCAACCCTGCGGAAATGATCCCTGTGAGGTTCTGTCAGATAAACGATGTCCTGATGGGTTCAGAATCTAGTATGACAGAGGTTGGGAGAACTACCAGATCATCACACCATGAAGTCACACAGGGCTGGTGGCAGTTCAGCCGTGAGTGCAAGAGCTATGTGAGTGTAATTATTGTCTATTCCATGTGAAGGTGATCTCGCTGGGCTGGTCCTGTGGCCCAGAGCTTAAGCGAGCTGGATCCCATTTGGCTAGTCTCATAGTTCTAGTACTGGTGGTGACTTGGAAGAAACATGCCAGGCATGTGTGTGTGTGTGTGTGTGTGTGTGTGTGCGTGTGTGTGTGTGCCCAAATCCCAACAGGATGGGGAAATGGAGGAGATGGGATTGTGGTGTGACCACGCCTCATAGGTCATGTGTGGGTCCCAGGCAAAGAAGGTTTTGTACTTTAAAATAGATGAAGATGAATACGTAACACAGGATTTTTTTCCTACAGGGTATATATATGCTTGCCAGAGAAAAACAAGAGACAGAGAGAGGGAAAATGAGAAATCACTCCCTGGGTGGAGGATGGCCATCCCATCTTCTCCTCCATTCTCCTTTTGAGAATTGGGGGACCAGCAGTTAGCGTAATGGCTATGTTGCTGGACTCCCATGTAGTTGATCATGGTTCGAGTCCTGGACCCGGTGGCTTAAATTCCCGCCGGGCGCATGTGCGTGCATGTCCAAGATCTTGAGAGGAGAATGGAGGAGAAGGGATTGCAGTGTGGCCATCCCCCACCCCCACCCCCCAGGGGGATGATTTCTCACTTTCTGTCTCTCTGTCTCTCTCTGTCTTTCTGGCGAGTGCGCACACCCTATAGCAAAGATCTCTCAAAAGAAAAAAAAAGGAGAGAGAAAGAGAGAGAACTGGGCGTGCACACGTGCCCAGTCTGCTCCAGCAAAGAAGGCGCACTTGCATGGGTCTGTTGTCAGGACGGCTACTTGGCTGGGCTTGCCGTAACTGGCAGTCATTTTCTGGAATTCACCAGTTTCTACAAGTGCCAGCCCTGTGAACGCAATGAGGACTTGACAGGCACCACCACTCCTGCGTCCTTGAGATCCTTAAGGGTGACACGAATCCCCACCATTCCCTCCGGCATGTCATCTTTTTTCTTACGTGCTTGGGTGCAGTTTCAGAGGTGTCCGTCTGGCCTCTGTCAGTACAGTAACACTCACCCACAGGCCAAGCACCTAATGTGGAGTTTCTCAAATTCTTAAATATGTCAATTCCAATGACACTTTCGGTGACTAGAGGATGATCACTGGCTGAGTCTGTAGACCCTCCGTGAGCAGGACTTGGGTCCCTGTGCACCCACACTCTAATGGGGTGAGGGCATGACATGTACAGTCTCCTGAGCAGATGACCACGGGCCCACTTAGGAGAGAATCAGGGAATCATTGTAGAATTTATTTGCCTTTGTATTCTAGATCCTTCCTTCTGAGAACCCTGCCAATTTAGTTCAGATGTTTTGGGTGTGAAAAGTGGCTTAGGTTCAGGAATTGAGCAGAGGATTATGACTTTGCCAGAACACCCACCCTCACCTGGTTACACCCAGCTGCGCTCTGTGGCTACATATACAAGTTGTACTCTTGTTGGCTGCCCTCAGTGATGCCATATTATGTTAACCATCTTCCAAACTCTGTTAGTCACGCCCTTGGCTGCCACTCTGCTGGGGACACAGTGGCAAGCTGTGCTCGGGACTCAGTGATAAACAAGACAAATGCTCATACAGTCTTTGTCTTCAGGAAACTTAATATCATTACTATTGTTTGTAGTTTTCTGTAAGAGTACATGCACTCCTGGGAGAGAGACAGAGAGAGAGAGAGGAAGTGAGAAGTCCACCCCAGGGGGGATGGCCATGCTGCAATCCCTTCTTCCCCATTCTCCTCTCAGAGCGTTGTATAACCACTGTGCCATTGTGACTGGCCAATGAGTGTGACTATTTTTTTTTTTAATATTTAAATCTATATCCATATGGAATGTATTTTGGTATATGGTGTGAAATACTATGGAACCTTTAAGTGTAGAATTAAGTACTAGAAATAACTTGTTCCTCTGCTTTTTTCCATCCCAGGGAAGCACTTGGAGAATACATAGATGGGAAGAAGGAGAGTGAGGAGGATCAAAGCAAGAGCGACAAACAGAAAGAAGAAAGCAGGCTGGTACGAACCGGCTGGCAGAGGGCTCCCACCAGTTCTGGACATGCAAGAGCTGATGTGACACCGTGGCTTTCATGTTTAGATGGAAAGAAACCACTGTGTTCTGTGTCACTGTCTCTAAGCAGAATCAAATTTAAATGTACAAAACCTTTCTTTCTTTATTCATGATAGCACGTGTTTCCATGAGGATGAGAGATGAGCAGTGTCTGGTCCCACTGCGGCCCTCTCCCTTCACTCGTCCAGCCCGTCGGATCCTGGGCCCTCATGCATGTGCCTGGCATGTTTCGGGCTGACCAAGCTTGGGGGTGGGGGGTTTGAATCATGGTTGCCCAGGAGAACTGGCTTCTCTTGAGCAAGTGCCTTATCTCTGGGCCACAGAATCAATCATGGAATCTTTTTTTTTTTCCTTTTTTAAGTTTTTTTTTTTAAATTTATTGTCTTTATTTATTTTAACTTACATTTTATCACATGTCTTTACAGTATACATTTCTTTTTCCAACACAAATAACATCATGTCAGTCAAGACAAGGATATTATTATATACATTATCATCAGTAAATCACTTCTCATTTTTTATTAGCTAAGCATACTTTTACCTGTTTTTTCCCTTTCCTTTTCCCCTCCCTCCCTTCTGTACTAAACTTTTTTTTTTTCACGTTTTATTGATTCACAAAAGATCTTAAAGTATGGACAAAGCTAGAATCTAGTGACAAGTACATTGTAATTTTCTTCTGAAGCATTTTTTTTCTCTCTTCATTCCCCCATTTACTAAAGACAGGTCTAAACTAACTTATTTGCAAAAAAAAAAAAATAGATTAATCTCAATTTGGTCTGTTATTTGCACAAAGCCCTGTAAGAATTCAATTTCTGATGCAAGGTAACAGATACTATTGTATTACTGAACTTATGCAAATAGCCATTCTGCCACAAAACAAGAATGCTCACAAATATTTTCTAAGTGCAAAGGGGTCAGGAAGGGAGAAAAGTTTGTTTCAATTTTTTTAAAAAAGTCTTTTTTTTTTTAAACCAATTTCTGAACCCAACAACTCAAAAGAAAACAAAAATATTTAAATCTGGAAAACAAAGCATAGAAGAAAATCAGTAATGTTTTAGAAAAAATCATAGAATTCTATTTTGCCAGTTCAGTCTCATGTAATCTCTCTTTTGTTGAATTTGCGGTGTTACTGTGGTCTGAACTTTCTGTTAATATTCAACATTATTATTGATATTTCAGAAGTTGTCTCTACCATTAAGTTGGCCTTTTTCTTGGTCATTTTTTGTTCTCTTATTTGTCTGTCTTTAGTTTTCCTACCTTCAGAACTTCTTGAAGAGCTGGTCTTGTGTTGGTAAATTCTCTCAGGTTTTGCTTATCTGAAAATGATTTTATCATTTCTTCCCACAAGAAAGATAATCTTGCTGGATACAGTATTTTTGATTGAAATAGCTTTTCACTTAACACTGTGAATGTATTTTCTCATTCTTTCCTTGCTTGCATTGTTTCCATCGAGAGGTTTGATAGCCTGATGGGATATCCTTGGAAAGCAACTTGACGTTTTTCTCTTGCCAATTTTAGTACCTCATCTCTGTTGTGGGTTTGGTCAATCTGGCTATGATGTGCCTTGAAGAAGACCTTCTTGGGTTGATTCTTTGTGGGGTCCTTTGTATCCCTTGGGTCTGGATATTTGAGTGCCTCTCTAGGTTGGGAAAGTTTTCTTCCAGGATTTCATGGAATAGATTTGCAATGATCTGATTTGTTTGTTTCACCTTCTGGGATACCAGTTATCCAGATGTTTGGGCCTCTAGTGGTATCTAGTATTACTTGTATATTATTCTCATTTTGGGGGGGTTATTTTCTCAGTCTTTTTGGTGAATTTTTCTACATCAGAGGTTCTTACTTCTACATCTGAGATTCGATCTTCTGTATGATCTAATCTGCTTTTAATACTTTCAAGGAGGTTTTAATTTCCTGTATTGCAGCTTTCATCTCTAACTGTTTCATTTGATTTTTTTTTTTTTTATGGTGTATATTTCCTTTCAGATTGTGGAAGAACTTCCTGACCTTCTAGAACTTGTTATCTCTTTTCTCCTGCATCTTCTGGAGATAGATGTCTCTCTTCTTTTGCATCTCTGTGAGCTTTGTCACTATGAATATCCTACATTCTTTTTTTTTTTTTTTGGAGAGATTTTCACTGTAGGGCGCGTGCGCTCGCCAGACAGACAGAGAGAGACATAGAGACAGAAAGCGAGAAATCACCCCCCAGGGGGGATGGTCACGCCGCAATCCCTTCTCCTCCATTCTCCTCTCGGGATCTTGGGCACGCACACACACGCGCCCGGCGTGAGTTTTAAGCCACCGGGTCCGGGACACGAACCGCGGTCGACTACGTGGGAGTCCAGCGACATAGCCATTACGCTAACTGCTGGTTCCCAATATCCTACATTCTTTATTTGACTTTTTCACGAGTTCCATTGTACTGTCTGTGGATGATGAAGGGCTATTCTTTCTCCTTGGGGGAGGGATATTTTCTTGATTTCCCATATTTCTTGTTCCTCTGTGGTCGTGGCTTCTTGTCATCTGATGGTTTATACGCTATTTCCTGCCTTCCGGCTTTTCATTGGGTGTTGGGCTGGAAGGAGGAGAGTCATGGAATCTTTTTCATTTGAGAGCGCTCTAGTCTTCTCTGCTCTGTTTTTTTTAATTTGCTATAGGGTTCATGTGCTTGCCAGAGAGAGACACACAGAGAGAGAGCGAGGGAAAGTGAGAAAGCATCCCCAGGGGGATGACCACACTGCAATCCCTTCTCCTCCATTCTCCTCTTGGGATTTTGGGCACCCACATGCACACACCCAATGTGTTTTTCAAGCCACTGGGTCCAGGACTTGAACCATGTAGTCGGCCATGTGGAATCCATCTGCCTTAACCACAGTACCACAGACTGGCCCGAAAGATGGTCTTTTATTTATTTATTTTAATAATTATTTATTCAATTTTTAATTTATTCATTTATTTTAATTTGCCAGAGACAGACACACACACACAGAGAGAGAGAGGGAGAAAGAGAGAGAGAGAGAAAGAGGGAAAGTGAGAAAGCAAGCCACCAGGTCCGGGACTTGAATCGTGGTCAGCCATGTGGAAGTGTCTAGCACCTTAACCACCATGCCACCTGCTGGCCCCAAAAGATAGTCTTTTAAATAGAGATGTCCTTCAAAGAGTTGAACTTAGATCACTGGCTTCAGATTCCAGAGTGATCATCAGTACACTATGGAACCACTGCCGTAAATTTTTTTTTAAAGAATTATTTTATTTAACTTTATTTTTAAATTTGATCATGAGGGGCAGAGTGAGAGTGAGACAGAGAGAGAGAGAGAGAGAAAGTGAGAAAGCAAGCCACCCGGTCCACGACTCGAACTGCAGTCAGCCACGTGGGAGTCCAGCCTCCTTAACTGCCATGCCACCTGCCAGCCCCACTATAAATTCTTTACAGTGTTCTAACTTTAGACCTTCTGATCTCTGTTTTCCAGAAATTGGCTAAACTGCTGCTCTGTGGCACTGAGTTGGTGACAAATATCCAGGTGGCTGCAGATACCCGAGAGATCCACAGGCGAGTAGAAGAAGAGGAGATGAAGCGCCAGAGGTAAGGGACCCTGGGGGTGCGAAGGGCATCTCCTCCATAGCTCCTAAACTCTCCTGATTGTTGAAAGTGACATTGTCCAACTTTGCCCAGTAGAATCCCCTTGCTGATCCTGGCGAATCCTCCCTCCCTCCATCCTCTTTTCCTGCTCTCCCTCCTCTCTCACTCCCTTTTTTAAGCCTTACATTGCTCATGTGCGCCAAGCCGTGTGGATACAGAAGGAGAAAGGCGGCCTCTGCTTGTAATGTCGCCTAGCTGATGTAGACACGGGAGCCCCCAACTATGGTTTGCGTGAAAGTAAAAGTCTGTGTAAAGAGTTGTGGAAACACGTGAGAAGGCCTCAAATTTCTGGAGAGATGAGAGAAAACTTCTCAGCCAAGATGACATTTGAGTTGGGCTATAAGGGGTGAATAGGAGTTCGAGAAGTTGAGTGGGCACACTAGGCAGAGGGTATGCTTGAGCACAGGCTCGGGTCACACAGCGCACTGGGGGACGGCACGAAAGTGAAGGATGTCTGACCTAGGACAAAACCTTTGGGCGCTGCGAGTTGAGTTCCTGTGTGAAAGGACTTTGGGCTCTTCGTTCCTAAGTCTAGATTATGAGGGAATACATACTTGCTTGCAACTGGAGGCTTTATTCCGGAAACGTCCCACTGCCTGTTATGGCTGTCCCAGGAATGCAGTCCGCCGAGCACAGCAAGTCGGCCTGGGAAAGGCCCTGAACCCCATGCTAAGGAATTAGGCTTCATCTCGCAGCTATTGAAGAAAAGCGAAAGGGCTTAAGTGGCAGCTACAGGATGAACGTGAAGTTTGGAAAGATGACCTGATGTTTCTCACTTATTGAAATAAAGAAGAAAATTAAGGGTGTGGTGCTTAAGGCAGCTGAATCCCACATGGCTGACTACACAGTTTGAGTCCTGGATTTGGTGGCCTGAAAAACACACTGAGTGTATGTGTGTATGTGTGTGTGTATGTATGAATGTGGTAAAAATCCTGAAAGGAGATTTGAGGAGAAGGGAGTATGGAATGGCTACACCTCTTCAAGTGTGCGTTCTCACGTTCCCTGTCTCTCTTTATCTGTCACTCCGACATATACGCCCTGTAGCAAATTTAAAAAAAATAATTAAATTATAATATGGACCTTGTGCTCTACCTTGGAAGGTGAGGTAGGGATGGGAAAGGGCAGGAGAGAGAGGATTGCAAGATGTTTAACGGTGACTCCTGTCCTTCAGGGGCTTTGCGCTCTTGTCTGGTGGCAGTGTCTTAGAATATGGTGTGTTAAAATTAGGAGAGAGAGTCTCTGACCTATGCCCTGACCATGGTTCTTAGAGGGGCCCCACAGGGCTCACAAGTGGCGTGGTGGTTAAAGGCGCTGGACTCTCCCACGGTCAATTGCAGTTCGAGACCTGGACCTGGCAGTTTGCTTTCTCACTTTCTCTCTCCCTCTCTCTCTGTCCCTGTCTGGTCAAATTAAAATAAATAAATACATAAATAAATTTGAATAAAATAATTGTTTTGGAAAAAAAAAAAAAAAGAAGCCCCCTTCCCCATCTTGGCCCTGATGTCTTCCTTCAATCCAGTCCCATCCTCAATGTACTCCATCAGAGTTTCTTTGGGATTTCTGGAAAGGTCATCCCTGTCTAGTTTCCCTATTTGTACATTCCACTGGTTATTTATGGGTAACTCAAGAAAGGAACAGCATACACTTGAGGTCATGTTACTAATAAACATTAATAACTGGGGACTAGCTTGTGGCATGGTGTTTGGGGTGGCCGGATCCCACATGCCAACTGCACAGTTCATGTCCCAGACCCAGCAGCTTGGGGAGCATACCAGGCACATGCGTGTGTCCAGAATCCTAGGAGGAGAATGGATTATGGCATGGCCTATTTAGCCTAAGTTATTTAGAGTCAGACATCAAACTAAAAGCAGATTTCTCAGTATTTGGTTTGGCTTGGGCTGGGTGTGTCTAAAGGTGGCTCCTGGCGCCTGGGCCCTGTATCGTAGAATCTCGAGCACCCGTCTGCCCTATTAAAGATGGCACCCAGAGCTGGTCTGTCATGGCTGGCACATTTGTATTTGCAGACTTGAGAAGCTGGAGAATGAAATGAAGACCAGCCAGGATAAGTTTGATGAAATCACCGCCAAGTGGGAGGAAGGCAAACAGAAGAGAATTCCCCAGGAGCTGTGGGACATGCTGAACACCCAGAAGCTACACTGTGCTGGGCTGATAGAAGATAAGAACAAGCTTATCAGTGAGCTACAGCAGGCAAGGGGTCTGTGATGCTCACTCCAGCCTCCTAAGAAGAGACTGGGGTTTAACTGGGCTATTGGTTTGCTCTTCCTGGGTGGAAGAATGCGGGGGCCTTTCTCATGACTTAGAATGCTGTACAGCTCAAACCATGAGCCTTTCGTTCTTTTTTAAACTTTCAAAATTATGGGAACCAGCAGTTAGCGTAATGGCTATGTCGCTGGACTCCCACGTAGTTGACCGCGGT